GATAGATGACGTCACAATATGCAATCTCATTGGCTCTAGTAATTAGCATCAAAGGCTTTCTAACCATTTTCTTTTGGTGCGTAGATATCATCTTTATTACGTCATTATGTAGCGATGGATGACGTCACAATAYGCAATCTCATTGGCTCTAGTAATCAGGTTCAACGTCAGAGTGTATCTCTTTATAACCTCTCTCTTTTGGTGCGAACGTATCGACCAAGTAATATGCAAGTAGATCTAGAAGACTGACGATGCCAAACAAGGTAAATGTTGTAGAGGCGCCGAACGCGCTGATGAAAAAACCACCAATGAACTCACCACAGCCGTGACCCAGTCCCCAGTGAACGCTGTGAAGAATGCCTGCCGGAAGTAAAAAGAGAGGTTGGAAAAAGTTATGAAGCCCTAAATATTTTACCTTTCTTCCGCTTGTCCCCATACTTCTATAAGTCGCTATAGACCCTGRCTCTTGCATAGATTTCCTAAAGGAATTGTTCTAGCCTGGGGGACAAAACAATGAGCCTTCTTTCCTTATCCAAAAAAATCCATTGTTTTATTCCCCAGAACAAATCCTCTCGGTATTCAGTGGAAGGGGTCTATACCTTCATGAAAATAGTGTTTTGGCTGCAATAAAATTTTTCCGCTCAAACTTTAAAATTAAGATAAAATAACAGTACTCAAGGGAATAGAGAGTGCCAATAAACTGTTAAGACCCAATAGGTTATCTATAATAGGTTATAAGTATGTTAAAACTATCAATGAGATTGGAAATGGCCCCAATAGTTGAGGGTCAGTAAAATGCCTTAGAAGACCTATATGTCTCTATTGCATGTTTAACTACCGTGACTTGCGCAACCCGGTTCTACACATAGCGTGACAGTCTTACCTTGTAGCGTGACAGTAACGCCTTCCAGCGAGTGTATCCCAACGTAGGACATAAGAGATGCCCACACACCTGCAGTAGTAATTCCAGAAAGCAGTTCTATTGGTAAAATATACCAAGGCCTGGTGATGAAGGCGTAGAAAAAAAGTCGCACGGAGTAGCAAAAGAGACCAAGATACAGAACGCGAATATGGCCCATTGTAGAAATAAGCTTTGAGGACAGGAAGTAAACTGTCACTTCCGCTATGCAGTTGATTGCTGCCATGTAACTGAAGAGCAACTGAGATCCTCCTAGATCCTTGAGATGCCAGAATAAAAAGACCTTGATGAGCCCCATGCAGATTCCCACCACAAATACTGTCACAAGAAACATGGTGTGTCTAGGTGTCATTAAGATCCTAATTCCTTCGATGATCCCTTTAGTTTTTGACTTCACATAAGCTTGTTTCTCAGCTTCTTTTTCTTCTTCGTCGCTCTTCTCACTCAAGTCTGCTGGGCGATCATCAAATTTTAGTTTGAACCCAATTCCAAGAGCCGTCAACATGAAAACTCCGTACGCTACAAAACAGGGATAGTAGTTAACGTCCTTGCCCTTGGCACTCCCAGGGGGGCAAAGATGCGTTCTACTGACTGCAGCGCCGACTAAGAACGCCATTGATCCCCATCCAATAGATCCCCATAATCTTTGCTTGCCGTATTTATGAGTCTCATTGTTCTCCTTCAGTTGCTGGACAGTTGCTGAGTCGCCTAATGTTAGACTTGGGCACGAGATAGTGGAACTGAATACCGTTATAAGAAGCAAATACAGGAAAACCCCCATCGTTTTTCTGTCATGAGTGTTACCAGTGTACTGATAAGCTATACCTTCTTGACTCTGGRGCCATGGAGTCTCATCTGATGAATCTTCAGCTATCTGAGAGAGTTTTTCCATCAAACTTGTCACATTCTGCGTCGGTTCTCGGATCTTTTTTGACACCACGTGATCTTCTTCGCAAAGATCCACAGGTACAAAGGCGTAAGCAACAAGACCAAGATTGATCGCCAGCATCGAGACAATGAACAAAGGTTTACTGATGCGATATTTGTCGGCGATAGCGCTCCATATTGGAATAAAGAAAAAAGCGATGTAAGGTTTTATGCCAGTGACGATGCCAACTTGACTGGCTGGTAGTTCAAGCTGCTTCAAAAATAAAGATAAATAAGGCAGTAGAGATCCTTGAGCCGAGAAGAAGAAGAAATAAAATCCTTTGGGAATCAAGTATTTTTTTTCTAGTCCAAAAAATGTGTCCTTTTCTTGGGTATTTTCCATTTTCTCATTTCCTTCAAGGCTATTCATAGGCGCTTCTTTGTTGTTTTCTTGGTTTGTGTCTCTCGTAGAACCTGACACATTATCATTCATGTTTTGTCAGCTAAAATAATAACAAAGGCTTCTGGTTCGTGCGTGCTCCGTTCGTACTGATTCAGGTTTCGAAAACAACTCAATGCGAGGCTGAAAATGGACAACGAATAAGGCTGGTGGCCACTGGTTAAGGCAGGTACCAATCCAAAAAGAAAAATCAAATTGACTGACATTCACTTTACTTTTTCCTCCTTATATCTCAATAAATTGGTTTTGGAAGTACAAAAAAAGCTTCAGTATCATTGACACATTTTTTTCATGTTGTAAAAATTGTTTTCCTGTAGGTTGTTGAGAAGATACGTTGTTGATCTACCAGTGACCTTTTCTCTTCACCTGCCCAGTGTTTACCCAGGAACTGTGTAAGATTTCATCTCGAAGCAGATACCGAACAAACACTTCCAACTCTTTCATTACAAATCCAATATGATTCATAAAAGCCGTAGATCTATATTTCTAAAGCGTCGTTTGAAATACTGGAGTCAAAATGCCATGAGTTTAGTATCGTTTCTCATCAGGACATGACATTACGATGATATTAAATGTTGATAATCTGAAAAATCTTAATCTACTATGATTTGGAATAAAAGAAAAGGAGGAAAGCAGAAAATAGTCAGTGAAATAAAATCGTTTTAAAATTAAAAGTTGGGCAGTTTAAAACAATTTTCCTATTTCAGAATTATTTCATCAACTAAATGAAATTTCAGCCAATTTTTTAAAATATTAATCTTACAAAATTGACATCCTTTTGTGATCGATAAAACCCCTATTCAACATGTAAAAAAAGATCAAAATTCAAAAAACTCTAAGTTTGGTTTCATACTTTTTACTTCTATTTTTTACTTAAWCTAATATCCTATGACGTCATGGCCGCCATATTGGATGAATTTTTGGTAGCTTAAAATATCCTGTAGGAGGAACAGCAATAAATCGACGCTCACAAGTCCTCATCATCAAAATAGTTTTTCTAAATTATTATTATTATTCGACTTAAAAGGAGGGTGACTAGTCACCCATTTCACCTCACCCCACCACCACCTCCCCCCTCCCCC